TGTTCGGTCAGCAGGTCTTGCAGGAGTAGAAGCGGTCATGGTTAGCGCGCACAGCAAGACGCTCACCTAGTCACGTAATTGCACACCAAGCAGAAGCGAGTGATGCGGCTGTACTGCTCCATGATTCTACGAAGCGCGCTCTGCGCATCTTGCGTCATGCTGTCCGCCTCGTCCAGAATGATGATCTTGTATGGCGGGCAAGGAAAATCGCTGAGTGGGATTCGCAAGGCCAAGGTCGCAATGTGCGAGACGCGCATCAGCATCCAGTTCTTTCCAGCCCTTTGCCTGTGCGCAAGACGAAGAGGCGCGGCGTGGAGGAAGACTCACACATTCGCATTGCTCACTGCCGTCTTTGCAAAATTCTTGATCTTCTCTCTGACCACGGTGATGCCTCTTTCGTCCGAAGCGTTCAGCTCGAGTACTCTGCTCCTCATCAACTCCGGACCAAAGAGCTGTCTGGCCAGAGCCAGTATGGTGCTCGTCTTTCCCGTTCCAGGCGGACCGTAGAAGAGCATGTGAGGCAAGTTGGAGGACATTAATGTTTTTCTCAGAACGGCCACCGTGTGTTCTTGTGCCGTCACATCCTCGATCGTCTTTGGTCTGTACTTTTCCACCCAAGGTCGAAGTCGAGCTGCTTGCTCCGCCTCTTGAGCAGAGCTTTGCTTCCCCGCTGCCTGATTCTTTGCCTTTTGCGGTAAGAACATGTCTTGATCTTTTGCACTTGTCTGCTAAGCTTTGTTCCTATTACAGTGATGCGACACCTTCAACCTCTCGCTTGCTTCCTCACGGATCCCCCCGTGCGCCGTCGCTGAAGATTGCTCAAGCTGCCGCTGCCGCTTTAGCAAAGTCGGCCTCTGTATCGACCACGAATGGTGGTCTTTTTGCGCTCCGCTCCCGCAGTCCTGTCAATCGATGTCCGAAGAGCCGCTCCCGATCTCTTCGGGGCTTCGGCTTCTTGATCAACCTCTCCTCTGCGATCTTTCCCAACAGGCTCAGCACAGTCAATCTGCCTAGCCGGCGGCAAGATGTCCTTATCAGAACGTCTCTCGATCCAAATATCGCGCTCCTCCTCTTTAGGTCTAGCGGAGAAAAAGTCTTCAGGTACAATGAAGCTGCAACCTTGTGGGGCTATAGGGACCGATATTTGTGGTGCGCTTGCTCTGCGAGGCTGATTCGGAGGCGCGTGTAAAGTGAACTTGTTCGCAGCTGATGTAGACGACGAGGAGAAGGAGGAGGGGGAGATGGGGGTGTGGGAAGTGGAGACGGCGCGTCTGGTCGAAGAGATGAGTCCTGCTTTGCCGGATGAAAGGCCGGCACGATCAATAGCCTTTCGACTATTTGGACCGAGGCGAAAGTCGGAAAGAGTAGGTACGGTGAATGTTGGCAAGCTGGGAAGTGCGGGACTGCCTTTGACGAGCTGCGCGGTTTCGAGTCTTGTAGTCGAGTGACCCGTCGAGTCCAGCAATTGTGTTGCCTTCTCTACGCTTCGAGTCGACGTGGCAGCAGCGGTGAGATCCGACCAGATCGGATGCGCTTCAAATGCCGTCGCCTTTTTCGTCGAGGGCAGCAAGGCGTAATCGTTGACAGCAGTGGGTTGGGCGAGGAGGATGAGTGGTCGAAGTGGCTTGTGGGCATGCGCATCAGCAAGAGCTGGCAGCAGTAGTGATTGCGCTTGCGAGTCCAATCGCAAGCCGCCATCGCCATCGCTCTCGCCATCGCCATCGCCCTCGCCGCTCGTCGCTGCTGCTGCTGCTGATGGCAAGACGCGTGGAGCAGACGCGCGGGTGCACGTCGCGTCCTGCTGCTCATCCAAATGCCCATTTGATTTTGTTGAATTCGCATTCGGATTTGAAATGCTCTCGTTAAAATAAGCGCGTCGGGATTGCACGCCGGTGATTTTGCGCAGACTTCTTCGTCTGCTGGCTGCCGCTGCCGCTGTCGATGCCGCTGTCGGTGCTCCTGCTGCGGCGGAAGCAGGAGCAAAAGCAAAGGCTTGTTGGTGGTGATGGAATGATGAAGCGTGAATGCTTGATGGGTTGCGTAGATGAGCTCGAGCTGGGCGTGCGGGGGAAGAGAGGTGGCGAATAGTGTGTGTGGTGTGATGCAGGAGTTGCAATTTGCGCGGACTGAGATTGCCGCTTGCGCGTTTGCTGGAGGTATTGTCGAGGAGCATGATGGTCGATCGCGTTCTTGGCGGCCTTCGTAGTCGTGAGCGAGTCGTGAGTCGTGAGTGTGAGTTTGGATTGTGGGCGAAGGGGGGGGGAGTCACGAGTTGGGGATGATGGTAAAAGGAGATGAGAAAACAGCAAAGCGATTCTCTCCTCTTGAAACAGCTCACACACACCAAGGCACTCACCCCAATCCATCCAGTCACGCTCAAGAAGAAGTTGACAACAGCCGTGAGTCAGTGTCAGTCCACCATCTACAAAGGTCCAGTGAGAGTCTCGCTCGCATTTCTAGATTGTCTACCAAAGGGATGCACGCGCGCGCCTACGCTCGCTCAACGGTCATGACGGGCCCCGCCCGCGCGCGCGAGCCGTTGTACTAGCGAGCCTAAACTCGATCTGAACTGAGTCAAGCAGCTTCGCCTACGCTCATCTCCCGACATGACATGACCATCGTCGATGATTCGTTGCCAGAATACAAAGCAAACAAGGCGCCAGTGCAGCTCATCCGGCCTACTCGCTCGCTTGCCTCATTCGACGGACGACACATGCACATTTGCTCGCAGGTGAGCTCAAGCAGCACGCCCGCGGCCGTTCATGCGCGCCGACGTTTGCTGCCACCTCAACGCGAATCATGCAGAGCAACGGGACCGCAAATTCGCAGCAACCGAACGAATGCAAAGGAAAGAAATCGTCATTCCATTCGTAATGGAGCTGCAAGGATGAGCGAGCGAGGTTGGAAGCGGTGGGGCAACACGGTTCGCAGTTGGCATCGACATGCCATACAGGGTTCGCGTTGCCTTACTAAGCAGCGCTCGTGGAGTGGACATGCACAAAGGTGAAGAGGAAAGCCGATCTGGATGGCGGGGCAAGATATCCAAGAGAAAGAGACGCAATAGGTGAAGGGAAATGCGGGTATGCTGGCCCAGACCAAGGGGCTCGGCCCAACGCGGCATTATGAAGTGCGCGTCAGACTGACAGATGAAAGGCCACCATCTAGGAGTAGACCTTCTTCACCTTGTCCTCGTACTTCTTGACAGCTTTGCCGCGCTCCAACTTTTGAGCTGCAGTCATGGGCAGGTCCTCAGGCACGAGCACGACAACATCGAGAATCTCTTGGCCTCTAAGACCACCCTTCTTGCCGACCTCATTGAGCGACTTGAGCACCTGATTGGCCACATCCTCATCCTCTGCCGCCTCTTCAAGACTCTTTGAGGTGAATTGCTTGAGGCCATCCTCGCGAGGGAATACGATGGCCATGGGCTTGCTGTTGTTGCTATCCGCATGAACGCAGATGTTCTGCACAACATCGCAGCTCTTGTACACACTCTCAAGTTTCTCCAGCGCGACATACTCTCCACCCGACAGCTTGACAAGATTCTTCTTCCTGTCAATGATGCTCAGCGTGCCATCCTCGTTCCACTGGCCAACATCACCAGTCTTGAGCCATCCATCCTCTGTGATGGTCTCTTTGGTGACCTCGTCGCGCTTAAAGTATCCCTTGGTAACAGCTGGGCCTCGAATCCAAACCTCTCCCTGAGGGGGCGAGTTGGTGGCGTGGTATCCCGCGTCTGGCACGTCGACCAGTTTGATCTCAATGGCTGGGCTAGGGACGCCAACAGTTCTGTACGCGTTGTAGACAGGCGTGCCGATCGTGCACATGCTGCAGGAGTCATTTGCCAAAAGAATTTCAGATGTGAGCAGAAGAATAAAATGTCGAGCAGCGTGGGAAAGCCTGAACTCACCCGCAAGACTCGGTCATTCCGTATCCTTGCAAGAGCTGCATGAGCGCCAAGTCCAAAAATTCTTGCGTCTCTTTGGAGATGGCAGCACCTCCACTGAGCGCGACGCGCAGTCTGCCTCCGGTCTGGGCGCGCACCTTGTTAAATACGATTTCGGATGCAGAAGAAAGCAGAGGAATCTTGTTCTTCTTCCAAGTCATGGCGCCGCGGAAGGCGTACTTGGCAACAGTGGGGCCAGCATTGACCTTTGTGTTGATACCCTTGCGGATGGTCTCCCAAACTGTGGGCACACCAACCAAGACCGAGGGCTTGAAGCAAGCAATGTCACCCAAGCAGTTCTTGGTTCCCGCAGGCGTAAGCGTCTTGACTCCTCCGTAACCCATTGTCAAGCCCACATACATGAGCGAGCACTCGACGATGAACTCGAGAATGTGCGCAAGTGGCAAGTAAGCCAAGAATGTGTCCGTGGGCCTGAGGTGAGGTCCGAGAAGAAGCTCCACTGATCCGCACGCAGCAACCAAATTGCCGTGAGTGAGGATCACACCCTTTGGCTTACCAGTGGAGCCTGAGGTGTACATGATGCAAGCAACATCCTCCGCCTTGGGTGGGTTCGGCTTAGCAGGGTTGGCCTTGCCCTCAGCCTTGAGCTCATCCAGACTGAGGACGCGAGAGCCTTCTCGGCTCTGCAGCTTCTCGCGCAATTGCGAGAGGAGGCTCTCTTCCAATTCCCCATTGTAGACGACATACTTGACAGTAGGCGTCTCGTCAAGCACGCTGATCAGCGTCTTTACCAGATGTGGGTTGGTGAAGATGCCGACAACGTCGGGCTCAGCGAGCGAGTGCTGAAGACCCTCTGGGCCCAGAGTGTCGTAGGCAGTGCAGAATGGGATATTCTGGGCAAAGCAACTGTGGGCGAGGTTTTGCCAGTCAAGCCTGCAAAGAGGGGACAGAAGGAAAGTGAATGAGCAGCGGCTGGAGTTTGATGATTGAATACCTTGCGCTTACGAGGTGGATCCGTAGATGTTGAATCGTGTAGAGGTGCTCAGGCCAAGGTGCGCAAGACCGCTGGCTGCGTTCTGCACGCGCTCGTTGAACTCGGTGTATGTAATGTACTTTGGGCAGAGAGTGGCATGCAATGTCAGCGGCTTGCTTACGTGCGACAAGCCGGACGACCACCCTACCTACCTTGTAGTCGCTGAGCTCTTGAAGTTGCCAAGTCTTCTTCTCTGGAGCGCCGAAGTGGGCAAGCATACATGGTCAGGAGAGTTCAAAGCGGTGTCAGAAGCCCCGTACGCCTTGAGTGGAGAATCTCAAAGGCTTTTGGCCTGCGAGCCATCGCGCTTAGCGCAGCCTGCTAGTACTCTGCGGACTGCAAGCAGCAGCTCGAGCTCGACAGGACGAGTTGGGTCCTACTCTTGACTGCTGCCGCGTCTTTTCCGCGACTCACCTTTGACTTCCTTGCCATCCACCTTCTTCGTGACCTCCTTCTCTTCATTGTGAATCTTGATGAGTTCGCGGTAACCCATGCAAGGCTTGTTGGTGTATTCTGCGATTCAGCCAAGGGAGCGAGAAGGGATAGGTCAGCGATGGAGGCTTTTTGCATGCGGTCCAAATGCTACATCTTTTTGCAATTTCGCACTCACTGCCTACGATGAATTGAAGAATGTCGCTCATGGTGTTGATCTTGCCATCGTTGCCCGTAGGTCTCTCGACCAGCTTGTCGGGAGAGCAGAAGGCTCGGCGCACCTTGGTCTCCCCAGCAGGTGGAGCACCACCAATCTCGACTGATCCAGGGACTGGCGCCATGGTGTAGAGTGTTTGAAAGACGCGAAAAATGCAAAAGTTGCAAAGAAAAGTTGATCTGTGACTCGAATTCGGTGAGGATCAAGAAGCGAGCGTCACCAGGATGATGATGAAGGCGATGGAGATGCGTGCGTGCGTGGACTTTGAGATGTTGTGCAGCAAACGTCGTGAAGGTGCGGGGAAATCTCTCTCCCAGCTTATGCGCCCAGCAAGTCGTGAGTTCAGTGCTGCTGCTGCTAGTTGGCGCGCGCGCGCGGTTTGCGTGAAAGTGAAGCGAGCCGTGCGCTTGCAAGGACTTCGCTGTTTGCAAGGGTCTCAGCTATAGGCAATTTGGCTGAGGCGTGTGCGGTGTGCGGCTCCACGAGTTCTGCTCTGTCTCTGTATATATATATATGTGGTGTTTCACTTTATTGCGTGTGATGATGCCAGCTGAGGAGAAGCCTCTCAACGTCACACACGCTGCTGCTGGACCAATAGCAATCGTGAATTAGGGACACATCCATACGTGTCTTGGAGCCGGGACGTGCAAGATGACTGAGACACGCCCAGTAGGTTTGAGGTGCATGGGCGGTATTGGGCGCAGCTGTAGAGGACTCTTCGGCTCGGAGCCAGAACAGGGGGCGGCTGACTGTACTCCACACATGCGCTCCCACATCATCATCGCAGCAGCAGCAGCACCAGCAAGCCTCATGCAAGCAGCTGTGTGCGGGCATCGCGCCTTGGCGCGCGGAGCCTATAGCCTGTGTGCACCTGCCACAGCAGGACCAAAAAGCGGGGCTACAGAAAGCAGGCCGATCGAGCCACGAGTCTTCGATGCAGTCAATCACGAGTCAATTCACCCACTCAAATCACAATGTGACTCACACGAGGGGCCGCTCTGGGCAGGCTTTCGTTGGTCTGTGCAGCGTGTGAGCTGATGACGATGCGAGCGCGCCACACCGATTTGAATGCGAATGCTGAGCTTCTTGGCTCCAGCGAGCTCTGTCTGAATCACAAATTGATTGCAATTAAGCATCCCTAACCCTCGTTTTATTATTGTGATTTGTGCCCTATCTTGCTGTCAGCATTTTATGCAGGCTCGCTCTTGCTTTGCTCGGCATAGGAGCGCCACAGTTCTGTGGTCAGCACGAGTCAGCACGAGTCACGATCGAGCCTCTCGATCACCCGCCAGTAGAGTCCTGCATGCGATGCCGATGAGCGCAGGTGGGAGGTTGTGCCGGCTGGCAGTAGAATGCAGCAGCCATCTGGTACAGTACCTCTGCGTTCATGGCATAGCTCCATGCCGGATGTCGCCTCGTGATCTCCCTTTGCAGTCAAGTGTGCAGGCCAGCAGAAAACAAGACAGAGAGATCCAGAAGAGAAGGAGAGAGGAGGGATCCAAGCGCATGCATGCAGAGACTGGAGAATCACGAACGAGCCCCGCGCTCCCGCTCCTGCTCGATCTCATGATGGCCGTTCAAAGCCTCAAGTCGCCTACAAGCGTCGCATGTGGTGTACCGGCGCTTTCATCTCCTATTACTTGATCTGGTCGTGAAGTCACGTATACAGTGCATCGCATGTACATCACTTATTCCTAATTATTCAAAGTCACGAGTCAAAGCCACAAATCTGTGAATGTTTAGGCCACAGAGTCAAAGTATGGTCCCTGCCGTGCATGACATGCTACACGACGCACTCGCCCTAGCGCGATCGATCGCTGCACCGGCCGCTTCAGAACGCGGCAGCTGGCTGGGAGATGGTCTTGTGCGTCACGAGTCAAGATGGCTTGTCAAGTCTGTCTGAGTGGCAGGCAAGAAGTCAAAGTCTTGAGTCTTGAATGCCACAGCAAGCATCTCGACGTATATCCGTCCCCTCCCGGCCTGATATACGGAGAACAGCTGCTGTTCGAACAAATGCGCGATATTCTTACATTTAGGTGTAGAAAAGCAGCACGAGGCACACGATTTTCAAATGGAGGGGAAGATGGCAGGGAGGTTGCGAGGGGACGGCAATAATGATAAGCCTTGCCTTCAAGCGGTCCAGGTCGCATTTGCCCAGACTCCATCTTTTATCCTTCGAATTCCTTGAGGAACGACCTAGGATCGGACAAGGGTATCGGTTCGATCGAAGCAGGCGAGTCAGACGTATGAGAGGCTGAGCGGGAAGATCCTCCGACAAGCGCTTTATGGACTCACTTGTGAAAGTCGCCGAAACGCTGGATGAATTCGTCAGTCTCCTTGGCCAGGACAGTTGTGCGGCTGGCGTTTAAGAGGACGCATCGATATCCCGTATCCGAGTCAGTAGTGTGAATCGCTCATTGTCTGCGGGCGTCGGGCATGACTTACAGGAAGCACTCTCCATTCGGGCCGGGTTGCTTGCCAAAGCCGCTTCCAGGCACAACGCAAATACCTGTAGCGTCCAACAACCTCAAGCAATAGTACAAGTCTGGTTTCCTCTCCTCCTTCTTTGCAGCTTCGATCGCTTTGGGAGGCAAGGTGATCTCGGGAAACAGATACAGCGCTCCTTGAGCCTCCCCGCACTTGACTCCAGGAAGTTTGGCGAATTGATCCGCCATCTTTCGACTGCGCTTCTTGAGCGTTTCATGGATTCCTTCTGTTTCTTCCTTCCACAGCGCGTAGCTTGGCTCGCCTTCCTTTGGAGGCCGCACCAACAGATCCACACCGATTTGTCCTTGCAGTGGAGGACACAAGTTGACAGATGCCATCTTGTACACCTGCGCCTCCACCTTTGGGTCCATATTGGTCAACTCAAAGTATCCTCCTCTCCTTCCACACTCGCCGCTGACGCCCTTGGAAATCGAGTGAAAGCTGACCAGCTCCACCTGATTCGCCAACTCCATTTCCTCGGCATTGCCGCTCTTTCCAAAGTCTCTCAAGACCTTTTTGAAGGAGATGAAGGGTCGCTGATCGGGGTGATAAATGTTCCTTTGGTACACCTCATCTGCCATAACTACTAGTCTCTTTTCGTGCGCCAGCTTGAGGATATCTTGAATGTTTGCCTCTGTCAAACAGCTTCCTGTAGGGTTGCCTGGATTGATGACCACCAAAGCGCGAACATCCACACCCTTTGCACGCTCCTCGTCCACCGTTCGGCCCATCGCTGCTACATCCACTGCCCAATCATCGTCCGCGTCCAGCTCGTACCGCACAGCGTGGCAGTTGTTGAAGGCGAGTGCGGCAGAGTAGAGCGGATATTGAGGAATGGGGATCATCACTCCTACTTCTGGTCCTGATACAACCACCGAGAGGAGCAGCTGAACGCCAGCCGAGGCGCCCGCAGTCAGGTAGATCAGCTCCGGATCTGAAGGATGGCCATCTCGCTCTATGGAGGGGGGTGAAGACGACGCAGGATGGAGGGGTTTCAACAGAATCCTTCCAACGCACTGCAGCGCCTCGAGGCAAACGCGAGCTCTACGCACCTTCGATGTACTGTGCGACGTGCTTGCGGATGCTCGATGCCCCCTTGCTGTGGGAGTATGCTCCAACACTGCCAACATCGTGTAGGATCTGCTCAGCACGAGCTCGGGCATCGGAGGGAAAGAGATCTGACAAAGTGCCAGATTTGTTCTCCAGCAGGTCGGGATACTCGGTCAATGCCGCAACCTGCATCCACGAGAAGGGGGAGGGGGGGGCATGACGCGTGTCAGTCAGTCATATGGGTGCCACAACTTGCCGCACAGCCCGCTTGGCACTGGCCATCACATTCGTCACTGACCTGTCTCCAGAACGTCAGCGGCTTCTGGGCTAGGTAAGGTTGCTGTTGCGGATTACCGATGTTGGCAGTGACGACGCTATCAAAGCGAATGCCATTCTCCTTCTTGACCTTTTCGTTGTCCCCCGAAGCCAGCAGCTCTGCATATTTGTTGGCGCGATTGGACAATTCCCCTCGTACAGCGTACTCGACGTTGAGCACGTGCGGGTTGATGCTCTTTTCCGTCAAGACGGGCTGGTAAGACGTTGAAGCTGACATCGTGAAGGACTTGATCAGTCCCGGCACAACCTTGGAGCGAGAGCGGGAGCGAGGAGTTGATGCAGAGGAAGCGCGATGAAAGGAGGAAGATGGGTAAGCAAAGAGGGCGAAGGGGGAGAGAATGTGTGCGGATGATGAATGTTTCCCAGGGATGGGGGAGGAGAGCATAGAAGGTAGACCAGTACGAGTCATTGTGCTATAACAAGCCTTGCCTAACCCCACGGAACAATATGAATCGTGCGGAAG